TTCCCTTCGCGGTGCACACTGACTGCCCGCCCAACAGGACACCCTACTTACCTGGCACTTACTTCACAACGCTTCACACCACCCTGGTATTCTCTTCACCTGTCCCGTCTTAGCCACTCGCCTTGCTCGCTTACTTCTTAAAGAAGGATTTGTGCTTCTGAGAAGGTGACAGGCGCTCAGAAGTACTGGCTGGCTGCTTGAGCAATTGACGTGATCCTGCGTTGAGATGAGAAATCATGACAGATGCTTGGAGGTTGTCTTTGAAAGTGTTCTGCCATTCGGGGTGTGTGTGGAGGTGGGCTGGTCAGGTTTACCGTTCCTTGCCAGAGTCTATGCTGTTCCTTTGGACACCTGGTGACCCATCCGGTGACAGGCCCACAGGAGGTGTCCTGTATCTCAGTCGAATGCAGTGATGTTATTTTCTGTTTGTGTTTTGTTAAAGGACTTAGTCTTAAGAGAAACTTAAACTTTAGGTTGGAAAATAGCTATAAAAATGTCTAATCTAAAATGACTTCTGTTTTTTTTTTTTGTCTGAAATATTCAGCATGTCACGCTGAGCTTTGCTCCTCTCCCTAAAGCTATCGCGTCTTTCCATTTGTGTAGCTGCTCATTTATTTTGCTTGGGATTCTCAAAGCTTGTGTTTTCCTTTCTCATTTATACCTGAGGTCTGTGAAGACCTATGACTGGTCACCTGGGCTGGAGTTAAAATCCCAGTCCCTTTCATGGGCCCTTCTTTTCCTCTGTACAAAGCAGTGGTGGTCGCTGGGGTTTTCTCGCCTTAATTAAGGAGGGAATAGCTCACTCCTCATTTAGATCGGTAAGTCTCAGCTCAGCTCGCTGATGAACTCTGGCAATTCACTTTCCTGCCCTGGGTCTCAGGCTACTCATCTGTACGCCTTTGCACCAAGTGATCTCGGCTCTGCCGTACTCAGATTAAGATTGCAGTTAGTAGGTTTACGTGCAGGTTGTTTCCAGGGGAACAAAGAGAGAGAGCCTCCGGTTTCATCCTCACGGAGCTGGTCACTTACGTTTAACCAGCGTTAGGAGGTCTTGGCTTAGTTTCCATCTGGGAGTTCTGACAAGATACTCACCACCGAGCTTTCTAAGAACCTGTGGCTCAAATCTGCTAGTGAATAGGGGAGATTATTTTATTTGAGACATTTTTGCTATAAGATATGTGCGTGTGCTCACCTGAGAGGCACAGGACAGAGGACAGAAAGCAAGAAACCACCCTCAGGAGGGATGGCCATGCCACAATCCCTTCTCCTCCATTCCTCTCTCGGGATTTTGGGCACACACACACATACACACACTGGGTGTGAGTTGGAAAGCACTGGGTCCAGGATTCGATCCACGGTTGGCTGTGTGGGAGTCCAGTGATGTGCCTGTGATGCCATCTGCTGGTCCCACAGAGATGATTTTTAAAGAAAGCAAGCCTAGGGACCAGCAATTAGCGTAATGGCTATGTTGCTGAACTCCCATGTAGTCGACCACGGTTTGTGTCCCAGACCCGTGGCTTAAAACTCACGCCGGGCGCGTGTGCGTGCGTGCCCAAGATCCCGAGAGGAGAATGGAGGAGAAGGGATTACGGCGTGGCCATCCCCTCTGGGGGGTGATTTCTTGTTTTCTGTCTCTCTGTCTCTGTCTTTCTGGCGAGTGCACGAGCCCTATAGCGAAAACCTCTCCAAAAAAAAAAAAAGCCTAGAGTGCTGTGGCGACACGTGGTAACACGGACACTCTGTAAGGCTGACCCCGTGAGAGGCTCTGGGCTTGCTGGGAGCTTCCTGTGGGTGCAGGACACACATGCTGTGTCCATGACCAGACCGGCGGGGGCTGGGGCTGGACCATGGCGTGCATACCCTGCTGGAGATGCTGTCTGAGTTCTCTCTCTCTCTTACTGACGGAAGAAATAATTAAAGCAGTCAAGTTATACTTTGTGCATCCCTCTTACCATCGCAGGTGTACAGGAGAGGTGATGAATGGAACCTAGCAATGAACGGAACTCTACTTTCCCATAATCCGTTCATCTTCCCCAAGAAGAATGTTGTGAAAATTATTTAGTACTGTTTTCTTGTACGATGGTGTCTGCCTTTCAGTCCTCCTGTCTCGCCCTGCCAAGTAGCTGGGGCTGCAGGTGCTCATCCCCTCGTCTGGCTCTTCGAGGTGGGCCGGGGGTTGGATCTGGGCCTCCTGAGTGTGCAGGTAGCACCTCAACCTGCAGATACTGCTGTGGCTGGGCCTAGTACATATGTTTTTTAGAGTTTTTTGGCCTTAGGGCGTATGTGCTTGGGGGCAGGGGGCTGGGGGAGAGAG